GAAGAAAGGAAGAAAAGGAGAAAGGGAGGGAGGAAGGGAAGAAGGGAGGAAGCCCTAGGACTCACAAATCCTATGGAACACTGGGCCCCAAGACCAAGCTCCCCAGGGCTCTGCCAGCCCCAGGCTATGGGATCCAATTAAACAGGACTCTCAGCCTAGCCAAGCCTCAGTTATATTCCCATAATTCAATCAATCTCATGAAACTATCCTCGCCTGGATAATTCAGTCTTGTAAAGTTATTCTGTAGTTTCATGATGCGATCTATACAGAGCGCTTAGCCAGTGTGTGGCCCACAGAGCACTCTCCCCAGTCATTTTAGATGACACAGCAATGAGCATGGGCTACAGATCAGGCATTATGCCAAGAAACTTACAGCTTTATGGTCTTATCTCTGTAATAAGCCAGTGAGGACGATGCTGTTATCTTCCCCAGACAAAGGGAACAGAATTTTGGCAAGTTGGTTACACTGCTGATTCCAGGTAAAAAAAGTGGGCTTGAACCCAAGCAACCTGTGCTCTTAACTATTATGACATCCATAGAAGCAGTAACACCGTGTTTCCCCAAAAATAATTTTCTCTCTCTCTATGGGTTGTCTCTTCACTCTGTTGGTGATTTTCCTTGCTGTGCAAAAGCTTTTTAATAAGATGAGATCCCAGTTGTTGATTCTTTGTGAAATTTCTTGTGTGATCCAGGTTTGTTCCTAAAGTCTTTGCCTACATCTAGGTCTTCTAGAGTTGTATCTATTCTATCTTCCAGCAGATTTAGTATTTCTGTTTTTATATTTAGATCTTTGATCCATTTTGATTTTAGTTTAGTGCATGGGTCTAATTATAGTCTTCCACGTGTGGAAAGATAGTTTTTCCAGCACAATTTATTAAAGAGGTTATTTTTCTTCCAATGTATGTGTTTGGCCCTTTTGTCAAAGACAAGGTAGCTGAGTGTGCTTAGAGTTGTTTCTGCATCTTCTATTCTGTTCCACTGATCCTCAGGTCTGTTTTTGTTGCCAGTATCACACTGATTTAATCACAGTAACTTTGTAGTATAACTTCAAATCAGGGACTGTGACGCTCCCTGCCTTGCCTTTGTTGTCCAGAGTTGCCTTTGCTATTCTAGGTCTCTTTTGATTCCAAATGAATGTTAGGATTGTTTTTTCTAGATCTTTGAGCTACTCTAATGGTATTTTGATTGGAATTGCATTAAAGCTGTGTAACAGTTTTGGAAGTATGACCATTTTCACTATATCAGTTCTGCTTATACAAAAACAAGGAATAGCTTTCAGTTTTTTGATGTTCTCTTTGATCTCGTTTTTCAGAGCACTGTAGTTTTCAATGTAAAAGTCTTCTACTTCCATTATTAGATTGACTCCTTAGTATTTCATTTTTTGATGCCTTTTATGAAAGGTGTGATTTCCCTAATTTATCTTTCAGTAAGTTTGTTATTTATGTAAGGAAATGCTATTGATTTTTGAGTGTTGACTTTGTATACAGCTCCACTACTGAATTTGGTTATTCAATCTAGAAGTCTTTTGGTGGAGTTTCTGGGGTTTTCTTTGTAGATCATCGTGTCATCCACAAATAATGATGATTTAACTTCTTCCCTTCATATCCTTTTTCCTTTTACTTCTTTTTCTTGTCTAATTGCTCTGGCTAATATTTAAAGAACTATATTGAATAGGAGTGGTGACAGTGGACATCCTTCTCTTGTTCCTGATTTTAGAGTGAAAGTTTTCAGTGTTTGTCTGTTTCACATGGTGCTGGCTGTTGATTTGTCATAGATGGCTTTTTATCAGATTGAGGTAAAAACCATCTATTCTGATTTTCCACAGGATTTTTGTCATGAATGAGTGTTGGACTTTGTGAAATGTTTTTTATGCGTCTATTAAGATGATCATGTGGTTTTTCTCCTTGGGTCTGTTAATATGATATATTACATTTATTGATTTGTACATGTTGAACCATCCCTGCATCCCTGGGATGAAACCTACTTGGTCATGATATATAATCTTGATGACTTTCTGCATTCTGTTTGCCAGTATCTTATTGAGGATTTCTGCATCTATGTTCATCAAGGAGATTGGCCTGTAGCTCTCTTTCTTAATTGTATCCTTCTTTGGTTTTGTTATCAAGGTAATACTGCTTCCAGAAATGAGTTAGGGAGCACTGCTTCCCTTTCAATTTCATGAAAGAGTTGAATGAATAGTGGTATTAGGTTGTCTCTAAATTTCTTACAGAATTCAGTAGTGTATCTGTTGAGATCTGGGCTTTTCTTTGTTGATGGTTTTTTAATTATTTTTTTCTTGGGGCTGAGGATTTAGCTCAGTGGCACAGAGCCTACCTGGCAAGTGCAAGGTCATGAGTTTGATTCCCAGTACCAGAAAAAAAAAAAGAAAAAAGAAAAAAAAGTATTTTTTTCTTCAATTTCATTGAATGATATTGGGTTGTCTTGAGTTTTTTATATCTTCTTGACTCAGCTTTGGTAATTCATATGTATCTAGGAAACTGTCCATTTCTTCTGTGTTTTCCATCTTACTAGAATACAGATTCTCAAAGTAGGTATTGATGATCTTCTGGATTTCTGCAGGATCCATTGTGATTTCACCCTTTTCATTCCTTATTGCATAGACTTGAGTCCTTTCTTTCCTTTTCTTTTTGTAAAGTTGACTGAAAGTTTGTCAATTTTATTTAATCTTTTTAAAAACCAACTCTTTGATTCTTTGTATTGTTTTCTTAGTTTCCAAAGCATTAATTTCTGTTCTGATCTTTACAGTTTCCTTCCTTGTATGCACCTCAGTTTAACTTGCTCTTCTTTTTCTAGAAGTTTGAGGTTCAACCTTAGGTTATTTATTTGAGCTCATTCTGGGTTTTTTTTGTTGTTGTTGTTGTTGTTGTTTTTTTTAATGTGGGCATTCACTGCTATAAATTTCCCTCATAGGATGGCTTTCATTGTGTCCCATAAGTTCCTGTGTGTTGTATTGGCATTATTATTTAATTGTATAAACTGCCTAATTTCTTCTCCAATTTCATCTGTGACCCATTGGTTGTTCAGGAGAGTATTAGTTAATTTCCATCTGTTTATGCAGTTTTTATGGTTTCTTTTGCTATTGACTTCCAATTTTATTGCACTATTGTCTGATAATATGTATGGGATACTTTCAGTTCCTGTGCATTTACTTAAGCATGTTCTGTGGGATAGTACGTGGTCTCTTTTGGAGAAATTCCCATGTGCAGCTGAGAAGAATGTGTATTTTGATGTTGTGGGGTGTGAACACTCTGAAGGTGTCTACTAAACCTATTCACTCAAAGGTTTGATTCAGCTCTGACAGTTCTTTGTTGTTTTTTTTGTCTGATTCATCTACTTGTGATAGTGGGGTTCAAGGTCCCCATTATAATTGTGTTAGTGCTTATCTGATTTTATATCCAATAGTGTTTGTTTTATATAGTTGGGTGCACTGATATTTGTTGCATATATAGTTATGATTGTTATCCCTTCTTGGATTGTTCCTTTTACAAGGATATAGTGACCTTCTTGTCTCTCTTAATCAGTCTTGGCTGGAAATCCACTTTGTCTGCAAAGAGAAAGCTACCCTGCTTTTTTCTGGGTTCCTGTCACATGGAGTATTGTTTTCCATCCTTTGACTGTCAGTCTGTGAATTTCTTTTTTGAGTTAAATGTGCCGCTTGTATGCAGCATATTGTTGGATCTTATTTCTTGATCTATTCTGCCAACCTGTTTGTTTGATTGATTGAGTTGAGACCATTCACATTGATGGTGATAACTGATATGTATTGACTTATTCATGTCATATTATTTTCCTGCTGTTTGCTCCATTTCTTTCCCTTCTGTTTAATTTCTCATGTTGCCTGATGGATTCATTCTATTCAGGCTTACAGAACTGTAGTCTTCATTACCTCTTTCTATAATATCTTTCAGAACATTTTTGAGTGATAGTTTTGTTATAAATTTCTTCAGGTGTTCTTTATCATGGAAGTATCTTATTTTTTGCCAGTTGCTCCTCAGTAAAGGACTAATATCTAGGCTACTAATAAAGAACTCAAAAAATCAGACCCCCCCCAAATTTTAAAGACCCAATGCAAAAAATGGGCGCTTGAAATGAATAGATACTTCTCAAATGAAGAAGTAGAAACAGCAAATATATGAAAAAGGGTCAAAATCACTGGTCACTCAAAAGATGCAACACAAAACAACACTGGGATTCCATCTCACACCAGAAAGAATGGCCATTATCAAGAAATCAGCCAATAACAAATGCTGGTGGGGCTGTGGGGAAAAAGGAACACTTTCCATTGTTGTTAGAAGTATAGATTGGTACAATTATGGAAATCAGTGTGAAGATTCCTCAGAAATCTTAAACTAGAGGTCTCATTTGACCCAGCTATTTCTCTTCTTGGTATCTTCCCTAAAGAACTAAAAACATCGTAACACAGTGACATATTCACACCCATGTCTACAACAGCACAATTTGTAATAGCTAAATCTTGGAAAAAGCCTAAATGTCCATCAATGGATGAATGAATATTATGGTCTGTGTCTAGATGTCCCCTTAAATCCTCATGCAGTCATAGGGTTTTTTCAGAGGTCACAGAACCTAGAGTGTGTAATTGATTCATAGTGCAATGCTGGGAGTAAGAGTTCTGGGATTAAGGTTAGGTGATTGCTGGATTAGTACACTGATAGGCACTGCCTATCCCAGTAGACTGGATACAACATAAGGCACAGAAAGAGGTTTGTCTACCTCTACTTGTTGCTTTTGCTATCTTCCACTGTCGTGAATAGTCACCCCTCTGCCATGTGCCACCCTTCCTTGAAACCAGTTGATTATGGACCAAAATCTCTACAAACCATGAGCTAAATAAACTTTTCTTCTGTTAACTTTGGGTTTGTGGTGTTTTTGTCTCAGCAACAAGAACAGTAACTAAAATAATGAATAAAGAAGATTTGGTTTTTTCATACAATGGACTACTACTGTGCCCTAAAAGAAGATAAACTTGAGACATTTCTAGGAAAATGGATGCAACTTGAGACCATACTCTTAAGTGAAATTAATCAGACACACATATTTAAATATTGCATTGTTTCTCTGGTGTGAGAAACTGAGAGGGTAAATAAAAACCAAAATGGATGATAGATATTGGGAAATAGTAAAGTGTTCAAATGGGAAGGGGAAGTGGGGAGAGGGGAGTAGGAAAAGAAAAAAGGAAAAAGAAAAGAGAAAATAGAAGGTGGTAGATTGACAACTGGTGGTCAACTTGTAATGCCCAGCTAAACTGAACCAGTGTAGTGCTGGTGTGGGAGGCCCACCTGATGGTTGTTGCCAACAAAATAAAGAGAACCAGAGAAGAACAAGAGGTGCTATTAGGGAGCTATTGGTTCTCCTGGTGTGTTGGTTTTCCTGGAGGAGCTTGTCATGCTGGCTTTCCTGATGAACTTGGCTGTTCTCATCATTGGAGGAGCTTGGGACCTTGTCATTGAGAATGGCTGCCATTCACTTCAGGGGAGCTCTGGTCCTTACTTTGACCATCACTTCCTGGTTCCAGTGTAAATCTCTCAGACTGTGAGCACAGATCCTTCATCCCACTGGTGCAGACTTTCTAGTTTCTACCACTGCCCTTTGGGCCTGCCAAGTGCAGACTGTGAAACAGACTAGCATGAAACATGGGGTTCTTGGCCTCCAATTGGACTAATGAGGCTGTTGCTATGGGCTCTAGGTCTTTAGATGGACTTGTGCAGGACATTGCCATGGGATCCAGGTGCTCAGCTGGATTCTTTTGGTCTTCAGTGTGTGGGGAGATTTCCTGCACTCTTTTGTACTTGACTGTTAGGGTGACTACTATGAAATAATCCTACAAATTATGTGTCTTGTATTAAATTGCTTCCCTTATGAACCCTGACAACAACAGAAGGAAAAAATGGAATCAAAGATTTGTAAAAAAGAGAGAAAGAGGGGTTAAAGGGAGAGGAGGGGTTTGGGAAAAAAAGAATCAAGATATATTGACATGGCTGAAGTGACATAGGTGATTCCATTTTGTCTCTGAACTCCATTTTGAAGGCCACTTAAACTCCAGATGAACTTACTCCTCCCTCCTCCCATTTGGTTAACCATAAAACCCACAAAAGGAAAGCAAATCATTAACCTAAGGAACAAACAGTTAGAACAAATTGTGGGAGTAAGCAAAACTTTAACTTCATCCTTCCTGACAAGCAAACCCCTGAGAAATGTAAACTTGCAACCACTATGTGGCATTCTTGTAAAGGTCTCAAAAATTAGGTAATGTGGTTACTATGGAAACTTGTGTAAGTTATAAAACCCTGAAGAACAAAGACTCATGGTTGACATTTTCTGACTCTGTGTTGGATTTTCATCCTGCCAGCAGAATAAAATTTTTCTTCCAATATTCTCGGCATTCTGTGAGTTGTTTCTTGCTGATCTGCCACAACATTTTGGAGGCCCCAGCAAGATTTCCTCACAGGGAAAAGCCCTCATTTGAGGAGGTCTTGTTCCTCCTAGCCTCATCAGTCAGTTTTTGGGTGGCAGGGTGTTATGGTTGATACACTGTGTCAGCTTAGGGAGTCTAGAAGTTTGGCTAAGTGACTCAGCAGGGAGCCAGGGTGCTTACTTTGTATACATCCTGAGCCTGTGGAAGAGGAGGTCATGGAGATTATGTGAGTGCTATGCACCCTTTAGGTGGGGGTAGCCTGTTTAAAATGTAAGGGAGGGAAAGAGGCTGCTTGCTGCCATTCCTCCCTTTTGCTCTTGTTGTTTTTGCTGTGTTCTGCCGCCATAAACATTTGCCTTCTGCCATGTGCCACTCTGCCTCGGAGCCAGCCAAGTATGGACTGAAACCATCACCAACTGTAAGCTAAATAAACCTTTCCTTCCTTCATTTTGGGCATTGGGTATTTTTTCCCAGCAACGAGAAAAAAGTAACTAAGACACAGGGTGTCCCAGCTGATTTTAGCTGGCCACTTGGGACAACTGTGAGGCAGGTTGCCATGGCTGTGAGATGGGATAAGTGGGCCCCACACCCACTCAGCGAGGTCCTAGCATGGTGGGCTACGCAGGGTTGGCTCACTCTGTGAGACGGGATCAACAGTGGGCGTCCTCTCGGAGCACTTAGTCTGAGCCGGCCCCCGCTGCAGCTGTTCTGCTGCGTCCATCCTGGTGTGAGCTTGTTTCCTCAAATCCTGTGGTTTCAGAATTTTTATTATCACCCTTTTACAGATACATAGTGCTAGACACACAGAGGTTCACACCTTTACTTACCCAAGGCCCCTCGGCCAGGGAGGGCAGAGTCTGGGGTGAACCTAGACACCCCAAACCATTCACTCACTGATGGGAGACTCAAACGGAGGGAGCAACCCACTGGCCTGCACTTCTGGGGCGCACACCCTCTGGGGGCTGTCCACCTCTGCCCCTTGGATCTGCGTGGTCTTTTCCCTGGTTGGCTCTGGGCCCTGGCATGGCCCATGGCTGGGGAGTGGTTTTGTGTGTGCAAAGGGCTCTCTCCCTGCTTGGTGCTAAACCCCTGAGCTTGGGCCCCCCATGCAAGTCCCGCAGCCCTGGAAGTGACCCCAGGGCACAGTGCGCAGCAGGCCCATCACAGACCGCCTGCTGTGCTCGGCTCCCAACAAACGTGGCCCTGAGTACCCAGGAACAGGCACTGCACAGCCAGTGGCACACACAGGTGCACGGCTCAACACACACGAGTACACAGCCACAAGTCACAGAGGAGGATGTAGAGCCCTTCTCACTTCCAAAATCACCCTCAGCCCTGGGGACAAAGCTCAGCAGCACACACAGGGGACAAAGCTCAGCAACACACACACAGGGGCCCATGCCAAATGGAGGAAGGGCTGCAGAGCCTGGAGGAGCAGTTAATGGATAAACCCAGGGGAGGGGAGCCCTGGCCCAGCATAACCAGAGTCCACTGGGCTGTGGGAAACAACCTGTGGCCTCCCTGCCCCCGCCGTGGGACTCTGCGACTGCAAACCCTGGCCAGTTTCAACCTCCCACACACCCTCACACCACACTGGGGACAGAGAGACAACAGGCCACGGGGCAGAGGGCACTGCCTCAGAATCTCTGAGAGACCCCAGCCCGGGACAGGACTCGGAATCTCTGCCCACCCCAACCGACCAGCCTGAGTGACACTTGCAGCTGGGCCAGCAGTTGGCTTCACAAGCCTCTCGAGTTGCCCTGCTTTCTACACTTCCCAGGGGCCAGCTCAGCCAGGGTGCGGGCAGGAGGTCCAGAGGTATCAGCCAAGACACGCAGAGGCGGGCCTCTCATCCTGGCTCTGTGAACTCTCTGTTGGCACAAATCCCTCCCTTGTCTGGGCCTCAGTTTCTCTGTGGACCCGATAAGTGTGTGGGGCTCTGTGGCTATGTGCTGCCTTCACTCGTGCTGTTCTATGATTCTGTGAAATACATACTTCCCAGCTCAGAAGAGCACAAGAAAACAGAGCAGCTTCATAGCTCACATGGCACACCGCCAACCCCAAGGTGTATCAAAGCCTTGTGACTCATGCGTGCAGGGGCTGCAGGCTGAGGATCCACCCCATCCTGACAGCTCGCTTCTACCAGCCTTCCTCACCTGCAGCTCAAGGCTGAGCCCCTGGCTCGGAAGGAATGGAGCACGGAGGAAATGCCAAAAGCCACAAATGAGGCCCCGGCCAAGGTTACCAGGTTGGCCATGGTCTCCATCCTCAGCGCCACCCACCGCGTGGAAGAGAGGAGCATCAGCAGGCAGGTGCTCTGTGCATCCACTAGCCCCTTAGTCCCCAGGAAGGAAACCCCACGCTGAGAACCAGCGTCTCTCCACCTCGGGGCTCCCTAGGGGCACACTGCTCACTTCACACAGCCTCCAGCTCCCCACTGCCCCCAACAGAACCTGAATTGTCATCGGAGGAAAAACTGTCCCCTCTCCCTGGGCAGAAGTGATTGGATTGAGAAGTGGGTCTTCCGGTGTAGCACCCTCAGAACACACCTTCCTTAGCTCCGTGACTGATTCGGGGATGGGTGGTTACTCTAACTGCACTTGTGAGAGTGAATGAGTGCTGGGCTTTGTGGGTGAGGGCAGGGAAGTGCCTCACAGTGGGTCCACGGACCCCAAACTGCCACTTTGCTATGGGGAGGGCCTGCAAGGGTCCCCAAGACACAAAGATGGAAAGGGCCCCAGAGTGAGGGCCCTGTACTTTCCCCACCTCTCTGACCCAGTGGGAGCACTCCCTCCTTCCTCCCTAGCCTGCTGCAATGAAATCTTCATCAACACCAAGAAATTAAAATGTCATTTAATGCCATCCATCCCCCTCTGCCTAATTTAGCAATTGTAATAGTTTGTGGTTTCTAAAAGTCTGTTCTTTTTTAAGCTGGTTTGAATTAGTTTCTCCTGTCACTTCTAATCAAGACAGAGCTACTCATCTTCACTTTGCACACACCACCGGCATGATTTTCCAAATCAACACACAACCCATCCTGGTACTAATAGCATTTTTCTTTTACTTGACTGAATATATTCTAGAATTGATGTTAAAAGAAATTTTATCACTGGCTTGAAATTATCAAAATAATGGGTTTGATGTGCTAGTTCTTTTCTTCTGAAGTGTCTTTAAATAACACTTCCATTATTGAAATAAAAAGTGTCTGTATGCCAAGACCATCCTACCATTCGGATGAGTATTACCCACACTCAGGGGTCCTTATGAATTACTCAGACTGCTTGCTCTGAACTTTGACACAAGTCTTTCCAAATTCTGCCCATCTGACCATTAAACCATGACTGAGTCACCTGCATTTTGAGGTGACTTATATTAAACACAACGCTTATATTAAACACAATGGGCATGGTGGTGCATATCTGGAATCCCAGCACTGGGGAGGCTGAGGCAGGAGGATTGCCACAGTTGCCAGCCTGGGCTACATAGAGAGACCCTGTCTCAAAAAACCTAAATAAATAAATGAGACCTTCGCCATTCAGCGGCCCTATCTACATTCAAGCCGCTTTGTTTTCCTCCAAACTTAGGTCCCCATCTTGGAGTCCTTGCACAGACCGACCCCTCTGCTGGAGAGCGCTGCTCCCAACTCCTGCATTTCCACCCGCACCTCACCTAGATCTCTGCACAACGTCCCTTCCCCGCGTGCTTCCCTAACAGCAGCTCTGGCGCCAACACGGCCTCTCTGTGCCCGCGCCCTGCCTCGTGGCTCAGGGTGGGAGCGTGTCTGCCACGTCCCTGCTGTGTTCCCATCGGAGCGAGGCACGTGTAGCCCTCGGTGTGAGCTGGACGAGCGACCCCTCCCCCATCCGTCTGCACCTCCAGGGAGCGTCTGAGCGCAGAGGGAGGACGCTCCACGGCTCACTGGGGCGCTGTTATCAAAGCCTTGTCCCCTTGTCCAGATCTCACCGGCTCCCAAGGCCAGCTCAGACCCTCCTCTCCCCACAGCTGCCCGGCCTCCCTGTCCGCACAACTCCTGTGACATCTCATTTGTTCCTTTCTTATACCACCCACCGGATTCAGTCCCCTTACTACATAAACATGTCCATGTCGCTTCTCTCCCGCCGACTGTGAGGTTCTTGTAGGGAAAGATTGTGTTTGATTATTATCTACTTAGCAATCTCTAAATAGGTAAGTTCACATTACACAGTTAAGCCTCAGTAACAATCAGGACGTGTGTGTGTGTGTGTGTGTGTGTGTGTGTGTGTGTGTGTGTATTTCAACATTCAGAAAGCAAATCTGTGGATCTGACCAGTGATAGAAGTTCTGTCATTTAGAAAGCTACTATTTCTCACTACATCTATTAAAATTAGATGTTTGAAAGTGAAATGAAAGCTAATGCAAGCTAAATAAAGCTAATTGCAAAGCTAATGCAATTATGTTTTTACATAATAATATACCTCACGATGAAATATCATATATTCTTCATTCTCCAGTGTCAGCCCGGGTTTGCTTCCAAGACCCCCCAGAGGATACCACAGCCCAGAAATAGCTGCTCAAGTCCCCTCTCCCAGATGCCGTGGTATTTGCACTAACTGTACACATCTTCATCTAAACTTTAACTCACATCCATATGACTCATGATACCCGATGTAAGTGCTGTGTAACCAGTGGTTGTGCTGTTTTGTTTAGAAAATAATGATAAAGAAAAGTCTGTACATGTTCGCCACAGGTGCAGTTTTTTCTCCTGAACATTTCTGGCCTTTGATTAATTGAATCCAAGGATGAGGACCTCACAGGTACAGAGGGCCAGCAGCGTGCATAAAACAGCACAGGCCTGTGAGGGTTACGAACATTTTCCAGATCACCTTCCCTTCTTATCCTTCTAAACACCAGCTTGCAGGAGCAGCTCTGGAGGTCCAGAGCAACAATGGAGTAGGCCAGGGCCCTCACAGACTCCCTCCTCTCCTTTCCATTCCCCACCGCTCCACACCCCGTCGTCCTGGATGATGAAATCTTCAGTCTTCCCATAGATGTGGGTGGAGCTCAGGCCACGCAGGGAGGTGAGGATATGGGGCTGGAGTCTCTCAGATACACTGATGGCTCCTTTGAACATTCTGTGTGCATGTGAGGGTGAGAGGCCATTCACCTGTGGGGCCGTCCAATCTGGGTTCCTCCTGGCCCTGCACCCAAGCCTCAAACCCTACTCACAGGCACGAAGAACCTACTCACACGTAATGACTAAGGCAGTCAATGACTACTATGGCTCCCATCAACAGGACGTACAGTGACAGCACCCTGATGACCACCAGAATGGTGATCACCGACAAAAGCAGGAATAGGAACGCCTCAGTGACAATGGGGACCAACTGGTCCAGCTCATCCAAGTCCCCTGCAAAGCAGCCTGTTGAAGATGTGTCAAAGAAACTCACGGGGCAGCAGAAAACCTGCAGAGATAAAACCCCCAGCCCACAAGTGTCACTGCAGACCTTGCTTGGGACTGGACAAAGACATTTGTCACCTGTAGGCTCTGCAAAGGAGCAGGATGAAGGCCAAGGACATCCAGAGGAGGCAGCACAGAGCAGTGGCTAAAACAGCAACAGACTCTACGTCCACCTGCTCGGCACCCAGGCTGCCCTGCTGCTCACCTGTTGCTGTCTGACCTTGGAAAGCTACTCAGCCTTGCAAAATCCTCATTGGTAAAGTGGGATGAGAACAATGCTTCAGAGAGTTGTAATAAGGTTTGCACAACTTTGCAAATATAGGAAACACCCAGGAGCTGTACAATGTACAGAGGTGAATATAACAGTACATAAATTGTATCTCAATATCCATATACAAGGAAAAGACTCAGAACAGTGCCTCTCCCGGTAAGTATTCCATCAGCATAGGCCAGGGGTGGCGAACCTATGGCACGCATGCTGCAGCGGGCACACGCAGCCCTCTCTGTCTACACAAGCCACATCACCACAGCAGCCAAGCATCGGATAACAGGTGCTTTTTCTAAACTAAAACCTCAGTGTCCAGGTTTAATTGCAGTGTTGGCACACTGTGATAAATATGTGGGTTTGGGGTTGCAGTTTGGGCTCTCATCTCTAAGTGGTTCACCATCCCTGATATAAGCTCTCAGTTTTTTCTGCAGATGGGACCTTCGAGATTGCCAGTGATAGCAGCAGCAATGCCCCGCAGTTGAAAAGCCCTTTGAGCTACATGTAATTATAACACCTCCTTTTGAAGGTGGCATCCCAACTGATCTCTAAGCACCAGTGCCCTCAGAGCCCAAAGAACATTTAAACTGGAAGGGCTCTAACATAAGCATCTAGTTCCCTGCCGTTGTTTTTTTTAAAATTATGTTTATTAGAACGTTTGCTGTACATAATGATTACATTCATCCTGAGGAATTGCTATGTGTACATAATACATCTTAGTGTTCTTAAATTTTGTCCCCACCCCTAGATCCCCTTCTCATTTGCAAGGATTGATCTCTCTGTTTCCTATCATCTTCTATTTTACTCCTTAAATTATTTGCACTTTGGGTTTCTCCTGTGACATTCATGCTTGTGTGTCTGGTTGATTTCCCTTAACATCATGGCCTTGAGGTGCATCCATTTTTCTACAGTGGCTCGAATTCACCATACCCTTGTTTTGCAGATGAAGAAACTGAAGCTTAGGCAGGGGATGTGGCTCTGTGACTAGCTTGAGGTCACCAAATACTTGTGGTTAAGGTCAAAGTCATAACCAGACAGGTCTTGCAAGTCCCACCCCTAGCACAGCCTCACCCCTTGCAGAAGACTAAAACTTCCTAAATGCTAGCTGTGCTCACAGACAAGCCACCCTCATTTCCCCAAATTTCTCAAACATAACATAAGAAATAGAAAGGAATAAAAGTTTATGGTATCTATTAAGACCAAAGTGAAAGGAACAAGGAAGGAGGGATGTATTAGAATCATGAGGTGCCTCTTAAAATAGCTCTTGTCTCCAGTGTCCGGCTACTGCCAGCCAAGAGTAGGTCACATTCACATTTGCTTTCTAAGCAGGTAGCAAAGTGTACAGGTGGGAGGAGCAGCTGTTCTACTTCCAAAATGTCTTTAGTTTTATTTCCAGGATCTTCCATTAAATACTTGCACCGAGGCAATCAGAATTGTCACAATCACTTGACAAATGAGGGGTGAAGCACACCTGAGGAGACTAGGGGGACATCCAGGGGCATAAGGACAGATCTCAGTTCTGCTGTGGGTGTGCCAGCCCCTTTGTAAGAGCCCAGCTCCACTGTACAGAGGGATGGATGGTGTGAGGTCGAACCTCTTGGGTCGAGGGACCTGGGCCCGCGGCAAGCGGCGGTACAGTGAAGAAAGAGACACCAGAGACCAGGCTGATGGCGCAGATCTACTTTATTGTGGAAGTACCAAGCATTTTATAGAGCAGGCTAGAGGCATGGCCATGGAGGCGGGCTAGGGGCGTCGTTTGGAGGTGGTACTATTGGCAGGGGGCGGTGCGAAAGTAGGAGAGCAGAGCGGGACAGCCTAGGCGGTGCGACTCACTCGGTCTGCCAAGGTCATGACGAGTCTGAGTCTGCTCAGACTCGCTCCTCCTCCACGGCCGTCAACCAGACCTCTGGACCCCTTTTTCCCACAATGGTGGAGACCAGGGAAAGGGTCTCTAATGGCCTCCTAAGTATCAGACTAAGCAGGGAGAGTTTTTATTTGTTGGTTGGTTTTTGCTTTTGTTCTTGCAGCTGATCCAATATTTTCAGAGATTTATGCTTTGAGGTTATTTAACACTATAAGGCATTCCCCTTTCTAGGTATCTTGCCCAAAAAGTTAATGACATCATATCACAGTGTCACATTCATAGGCACAGTCAGAGCAGCACAACTCAAATGGCTAAATCTTGGGAACAGCCTACATGTCCATTATCAGATGAATGGATTAAAAAAATGGTTATTTATACATAATAAAGAACTACTTGGCTCTAAAGAAGAATAAATGAGTCATTTGTAGGAAAATGGACATACCTGCAAAATGCAATGCTAAGTGAAATAAATCAGACACACAAGTTTAGATACTGTATGGTTTCTCTCACTGAGTAAGGCAAAGTTCAAATAAATAGCAAAATGAAAGAAGAATGAAAGGAAACAGGGAGGTAGATCTTTTGCCAATGGAAAAGGAACCAATAGACTGGAAGTAGAGAGAGGAGAGAGAGGAAGGGAACCTAAAAAAGGCTTAGGCTGCATCATCTACAGTACATGTACCAACTACCCACCATGAATGTAATCTTATGTAACACAAACATGAACTAAATAATAATAATAGGTAAAAGGAATCTAGAAACAGGATGGGGGTGACTGGGAGGAGGGAAATCAAAAGAATCAAGATATGTTAAGTACATGTACCTACTCCCTAAGATGACTGTAAACATGTGCTAATAAAAAAATTTTAACTACAAAGGAAAATTTAAAATCAATAAAGCCACAAAGAATCAGAAGAAGAAAAATATTCTACATATGAAACACTAACAGAAAAAAACTTAAATTCATCTTAATGTTCTTTTATTTTTGGTAATGGGAATCAAACTCAGGACCTCGCACTTGCTAGGCAGGCACTTGTGCCTCTGAAATATATCCCCAGCCCTTTGAACTCATCTTACAATTAAGGCGCTAGGGACTTCTGGAAAGGCTGGCAGAGCAGTAAGCAGCAACAAATCAACCTCTCCAAAATTCAGAACTCAGACACTGGAAAAATCACAACTTGAGGAAGAAAGGAAGGTGAGAGATAGGTTCCTAGGACCCAGGAAGGATCCAGAGGAAAATTGGAGCCCACAGGGAGAGTGAACAGACAGACCACAATGCAAGAAAAAGAGGAAGCAACCTGCACTTTCTCCCCAACTCCTGGCTTGCAGCATGAGAGAGAAGGATCGAATCTACAGAGGCACAGTGAGGGCGGGTGACCCACAGATCTTCAGGGAGAAACACACCAGTGGAATGGAGCAGTGGATGCTGTGCACTACATCAGTGAGTGACTCCAGTCCACATGACTGCGTGTCCCCTGGAAATATCGCTTGGTCAGATGCCATTTTAGAGAGGGGCCAACTGAACTGGGACTCAGAGCAGCCAAGGGTTGGCTTCATCTCTAGGCTCCCCGTGTTGAAGTCTTACAGTGACTGGGTGAGGGACAACTGCAGGAGATGTCCAAGGCCAGGGAGCCATGATCAGGCTGGCAAGAGTCATGCAGGGTGCTTCAGGCTAAATGACTCAGGCCCTCACCCCACACCGGAGACCGAGAGCAGCCTGAACTTCTGGGGATTTGAAAGTACCCCACCCTAATCCTACCGCAGGCTGCTGGGAGTATCCCGCACAGTCCTGGGCTCTGACTGCCTCCTCTGTCTACCAACAAGAGCAGAGTCGCACCCTGAATTGGACACCACTACAAAACTGTGGGCTTGAGAAATCACTTTGTTCTTCTTTGTTCTTTTCTTTTTCTTTTGGGGTTTTTGCTAAGGGGTTGTTGGTGTTGGTGTTGTTTGTTTAGATTTTTTATTATTTTTGTTTTTTCATGAGTGTGAATGTTGTCTTTAGTTTCTGTGTTTTTGTTGTTGTTGCTCTTTCCCTCCGGTCTCCACCAGTTTCCCTAGGCTTGGATGATCTTCCTTTGTCCTTCAGCCTTGCTTCTAGTCTCTTTCTCTTTCTTTGTCCTCTATTTTTTCTTCTTATCCCTTTTAAAATTTCTCCCTTTAGGGTAAAATCACTCTACTGAGTGAATATTTACTGTGTATAATTTTCTGATTTGTCATAGCTATTGCTATATAAATATATATCTTGTACCTATGGTTAAGGGTGGCAAATTAATAGTATCACAGCCTGTCATTTTCTACTCTGTGCTTGATGCTAATGTTATCACTGATTGTAACTAATGTAGCCAAGATGACATAGTTATTGTGGTCAATTGATTTTCTTCGTATGCCAATACCTAGATTATCCAGGAATCATAAGCAATGCCATGGTCTAGTACCAAAGAACTGGGTGCTAGGCCAAATAGGCAGCAGCCCTACATCCCTAATAAATTAAAGAAGCAAGATCTTGGGACAAATTCAAAAGCCAGAAGCCAGCCACTCCTATAAGACATCTCTGAAAAGTAGTCATTTCCTAAAGCAATCTCAATACTAGTAATAAAGTTGCCTACCATAAGCAACTCACAATGCAGAAAACAATGAAAGAAAGAAAATGAGAAAACATAAAAGCAAGATGCAACCCATAATCCCCAACTCACTCAGGGCAAATCACGGGGGCACTGAAGTGAAAGAAATCAAAAACCTCCTAGCTGAATTTCATGAAATTGTGGCAGTAGAAGCAACAAAACAAATCAATACATCTCTTGACAAAAACAAAACAGAGGTAATTAAAGGGATGGTGATGCTAATGTAGGAAATACAGAGTATTTCAGCATTTCAG